ACTCTGTATTTTGTTTCAAAGATACAATTACTAATGTATACTAATCTCAGCCTAATACTAAGTGTATGTAGTTTTAGGCATAGTCTGTGATATACTAAAGCCCAAGCTCCATTATTATCTGTTACGATTCGTCAAAAATAATTATGTCAAATACGGTTTTGGTAGAAAATTATGAAGTCAGTGGTGGAGCCAGTGAAAACTTGCCCATGTTTCATAATTTTTCTGACTCCGCCACCGTGAAGAAAGTAACATTATCCTTAATTGTTTTTCATGTCTTGATCCCAAAAACTCTTAGTATTTCAGTTAGTTTATAAACTTATTGAGTTAGTTTTGATATTGCCGGTGTCGACAGCATCTGTTGAAAGAGCTTTTTCAGCAATGAAGATTATCAAGTCTAAATTGCGCAATAAGATCAATGATGTGTGGTTCAATGACTTGATGGTATGTTACACTGAGCGGGAGATATTCAAATCACTTAATGATATTGATATTATTCGAACATTCACCGCAAAAAAGTCTCGGAAAGGACATTTGCCTCGTAATTTTATTTAACCCGCTATTGTAAGGTTATATTTGTCTCTTTTATTTTAAACTATATTTTTGTGGACAAAATGGCGAGTCTCTGTTATTTTGATTGATGAGTATTTATATATTATATACAATGTGAATTTGCGATCTTTAATTTTTCGCCCAGGCTTTATAATATTTCTGGCTCCGCCACTGCAGATGGGTACAAAGTTCTCTCAAGATCAAGGGATTGCTCTCTCATATCCAACTATTTTTAGTCGTTTGATTGGCAAGTTAATTTATTTGACCAATACACAACCTGTCATCTCATATCGCATTCAATAGTTAAGTCGACTTATGCAAACTTCCACTTATATTCACTATATTGTTGCACTTAGTACTTAGGTATATTAAAGAGTTCAAACATCTATTGATATATTGAAAATGGTGCATCCATTGTTTATGTCTTCACACAATTTTTTTGTTCATCTCTTCTTCCTTCACATATATCAAACGAATGGGATAACCACTCTTAAGTTTTGTAAAAAGTGCCGATTTTTGAATACTCGAGTCAGAATCAATCACCTTCCACCTGAACAAATGAATACAATTCAATCATTTGGTATAACAATAAGAATGTTACTAAAGTGAGATTAATATAAAGAATGATAGAAACCACTCACTTGAAACGAGTGATGAGACGATGAAGAAACACCAGCATCATTGCTTCAGCCATGTTCTTCCCAAGACACATTCTTCCTCCAATCCCAAAAGCTAAGAAGCTGTTTGGTTTTGACTCACTCTGCAAAATTATAGCTACATTTTATATATCTAATCATGAATTTCTAACATTAAAATTTGGCCATATCATACACATATAGACTCACAGGAAATCTTGCAGGATTGAACACATTCGGGTCGTTATGAACACTTGGATCATGATGTATTGATCTAGCATCAATATTAATGTTCCAACCTTTCTTGATCTCAAATCCTATATAAAACAAGCCTTTAAGTAATAATATAGTACTATTCATAATCCAAGTAAATCCTAAGCCTTTAAGTAAATATATATTTCATATATATTTAAACCTTCGATTTCGCAGTCCTCGAGTGCTACTCTAGGCAACCATTGCACTACAGATGCCATCCTTAGTGCTTCTTTTACTACCTTGGATGCATACTGCATCTCAGAAAGAGTCTCTAATGTAAGATTCACACTTCCTCTACAATTTTTCTCAATCTCATCTTGTTCCTTCTATTTAATCACCAAACAACTATAATTTAGTAAGTAAATACCAAAAAAATATGTTGAAAATAAAGAATTAAATAGTATAAAAAATTCCCTGACCTTAAGTTCATTAAGAACATCTTGATTCTCATCCACAAATTTGATCATCCATGTCATTGCAATTGCTATAGTGTCCTGTCCTGCAATTTCAAACTTGTTGTACATCGTATTCGGACAGATTCAATTCAATTCAATAGTACACTATATTTCTTACCAGCAATAATCATAGTTAAGATATTATCTTTGATCTCTTCATCTGTTAGCCTTGTTATAACTTCATCTTTTTCTAATTTATTATCATCATTTGCCAAAAGTTGTTGAAGAAAATCTACATGGCTAGTTGCGATTCCGCCTCTTCTTTCGCTGATAACTTTCTCCAATATGTCCATAATTCTTTTTCGAGCCTGCATTATCAATTACCAATTAACACTAAACAGATAATTTGTAAATTAAAAAAAAAAAATTGGGTGATTTGTATAATCATCACCTGAAGGCCTTTGTAGAATCGGGTCCATGGTAATCTCAAAGGCAGTGCAAGCATTGCTTCAGACACACAAGAAACATTCTTTTGCATTACCATTAGTTCATCACCATTTTCAATGCTTATTAGCATCTTGCACATTGCCTTACAAGCTAGCTGCATTACAAACATCATGCCCTTAAAGTTAAAAACATTTATACTGGTATAATACCATATCAGTATTGATCGTCTCAAGTATTTGGAGGTCTTGTGTAGGTTAGGCACAGTTCAATCCTAGCAAAACCACAATCTAACGCTGATAAATATTTTATGAGACCTTATTTAGCCACAGTTTAACTGTGATAAATATTAAATCCTGTGTGGTAATCTGTCTTACACGTCGTCAAAGACAGTCATGGTAAAGATCATGTGCAAGATTACACAAACATAAGTGTAAAAAACTGTGCCGTTACCTTGAGGGCTTCATCTTGTATGATGAGAAGGGACCCACATGTCCAGGTACTTGCAGCTTTGACTACAAGTCGATCGAAGAGTTGAACAAAAGAAGACAAAGAATGAGGTGAGAACAAACTGAAAAGACGGCTTCGAATAAGTTTGTGATGCTGCTCAGCTGCACACAGCAAACTATCAGGACCCAAGAGCTTGGAGATTGACTTTATGTACTTCTTTGAGAACTTCCCTCCTTCGTTTCTTAGAATTGTCTTTGCTGACTCCTTGCTCGAAATAAATACATGTGTTTCCCCGAATAACTTGGTCTTGAAGCAATTTCCATATCTGCATATCAAAACAAGTGGAAACATAAATAAATATTTAAAATTAAGGTCGACTTTGAAGGCGTGCAAGGCAGGCTACCGCATAGGTTCCGAAATTTATCACGGTTAAACCGTGCTTAAATAGGACCTCATAACATATTGTGATGATTAAATCGGAGTTAAATAGGATCTCTATTTATTTTTCCATGGTTAAACTTGAGACGACTCTGATGAATATGATTTATGAAATCAAAGTTTTTAAGGACAAAGTAGTGTCTTGTGTTTTGTTTGGTTACCGGAGGCGGCGAAGTCGAACAAATTCGTAGACTCCTTTAGTACTATTGATGGCAGCCATGAAATGCAGTGTCTCTCCTATGAAGGGTAATCCCCTATTTCCTGGAGGACTTCCAATGACACTACTGGACTTGTTTTTTTTGCACCAAAGTGCTACCAACATTTTAAAACATGATAACAACATCAATAAGACACCAACAAAGTTACACATATAAGAATATTCCTTTACCAATTGGGAAAGCATTTTGATTCCCCTGCTTCTTTATCATGCTGAATTAGAGCTATATATATAGTATAGAAAGTCATGATTTGGCCGACAAAGCACTAGATTAAAATCTGAAAGATTGAGTTCCACTTTGTGTAATGATGAAGTTAACATTAGGTAGTCATGATCATGAGTGACATCATGCCATTGTTGACGGTCTGAGGTAACTGGTGTAGAACTGTAACCAATTTATTTTATTCTAGGTGGATTTCTACATCACTTATTTTATTTGTTTATAAGTTAACAGTGTTGGTTTATGATCTCTTTCTTTAATATAGGAGATGCTTGTGTCATGGCTTTATTAGAGACGTTGCCCACGGTTCAATTTGCTTCTCGGTGTGTGCCTCGTGTCATGTCATGGCAACCTCGAAATGATTTCACAAACTTGAGGGTCATCCACCAAAAATGATGCTTCCTTCCTGAATTAGGGGTTGCTTCCTTCCTCAAAGAAGTACTGTGTATATTGAGCATATTCATCTTGAATGGGCACGGATCCAAGTTTTTCACGAATACAATCTTGAACTAATGACTCGTTCTCAGTTTCAATTTTCTTAACTGTCCAACCATTCTGCTTCTCGAAATGCATTCTATCAGAATGAAGAACTTTCAAAGCATAAGCAATACCATAATATGTTGTGTGACCAGAAGGTATACAGTTCAAGTCGTCACATCAGCCTCATGCAAATACTTGGAAAATGCAAGGTAACAAATCTGTAATAGACACACAGTGAATCCAACCACCGATGACGGAAGTTTGTAACATCAAGTACACAGTTGTAACCAGATGAAAGAGGACAACCACGCATCTCCCTAAAGCATAGACATTTGAAGTAGAATGTAATGAAATTCAAGCAAAGATTATCAAGCTTCACAAATATAAGCTATTTATTATGCATAAAATCTGAGGCAATTGAGTAAAGGAAGAAGACCATTATTACAATTGAAATTGAAACAAAAAGCATGCCAGTTTGCATATAGATAGACAAACAAAATTCTTATTATCAAACTATTTCTTAATTTGGCATAAACAGGGTAAAATTCAAATGGCCATAATCATATAGCTTCTGGGTGAAAACAAGAAGAAAATTTACTATATATTCCTCCAATTGGAAGAAGGCTTTCTTTATTGAGTAACAGTTTGCAATGAGATCCCGCTGTAACACCGATGTCATCAATAGTCCCGGTACTTAAATCAAACCAAGCTAGTTTCTTGTGTTTCTTTCTGATCACTATTCCAATCGGACACTTAAGGCAAGGTAAAGTGTTTAGTCCAGGATTTCCTTACACCGAGTTCACCCAAAATTGAAATATGAAATGTACTTGTCTCTTTATAATTTCTCATAAAAAGCAATAGATCCATTTAATATCGCCAAGGGTGGATTAAAATAAAAAACATCACGCTCGTAGATGTTATGATATTGGAGACAAAGTGCTGTTACAACAAATGGGACGCAAAATTTCAAAAGAGAAGTCGTTGTTTATTATTGTCCTCCGTCTCACTGTGTCGCTATGTATTAGTCTCCTACTTGTCACTGGAAACCGAGGTGGAAGTTGAGGTAGAACTGGAATGTTTGGCGAATCTAATTTAACTATATTCTCAAATCGATCACCGGAAAGAGAGTACAATGCATCTTCGCAAGAGAGAGATATCATCATAAAAAGAATGGTCTTTAGATATGAAATAGTTGCGGTACATAGTCATGAAACTAGGGTTATCAAATAATAGAGATCATGGTTTACAAACACATTTGAATCGCTTCAAAGATTTGAGAGGAAGTTTAGGGAGAATAGAGAAAACAATATCATCGGGTATATGGTTGCTAACCTCAACATTTGAAACAGACAACGATGGATCCATCTCCGACGAGGAGTTTGGATTGAATCGGCGAAATAGCACCGCCGCAAAGGAACAGGAGAACGCAGGTTTCTCTAACTGACTAAGCGCTTCTGCACTGCAAGGACTTTTTCTTAATTAGATTTCCAGTTTGGGTTTTGCATATGATCCGCCATACTTTTTTCTTTCGGTTCAAATCAAATTTGCCTGCTTTTTATATATATACCAACTCTATGTGAGACACAACTCAATTATGCTGGTCAAGACATGCTGGTCAGTTCTGCCATCGACTGCGTCGGGCAGCAACTTTCACTCTCCGCGAGGAGGTAGTTTCACCACACGGGAATAAACCCAGTTAATCTTAGGAAGATCATCACCGATCAAGAGAGTCCCGAGGTCACCCTTCAATCCTTTCTTCTTTCGGTTCCCGAGGGTCCCGAGGTCACCCAGTTTGGGTTTTGCATATGATCCGCCATACTTTTTTCTTTCGGTTCAAATCAAATTTGCCTGCTTTTTATATATATACCAACTCCATGTGAGGCACAACTCAATTATGCTGGTCAAGGCATGCTGGCCAGTTCTGCCATCGACTGCGTCGGGCAGCAACTTTCACTCTTCGCGAGGAGGTAGTTTCACCACACGGGAATAAACCCAGTTAGTCTTAGGAAGATCATCACCAATCAAGAGAGTCCCGAGGTCACCCTCCAATCCTTTCCTCAATCAAGACTGATCCTCCCATATGACCTCGCGTCTGGCGGAGAGCATCCACAATGAGCAGAAGCATCCCTACGAGCATCTTCCTCGGCTGACTATCAACGTCTCTGAATATCACATAGTCTTCATGGCTCCGGAAAGACCACATCCATATCCTCCTGATCGTGCAGAGGAAGTCACCCGGGTGGGGGACCACGTGCTGGTCCCCACTACTCACGTAGAACCTGACAGTCTCCACTTTGGGCCACTTTGGGCCTGCTTAACCAGCCCAATGAGGAGACCTTGGCCCAGCGCTGGGGGCTATAAATACCCTCTCTCTTGAGAGGGTCAGATATTGAACGTTTCTCACTCTCTTACTTGCTTGCACCATTCCGTATCTCATTTTGACATCAGAGTGTCTTGCAGGTATCCTCCCCCCACCTCACTCTTAAGTACTGCTCGAAGTAAGTTGTGACGGTCCATTCTAGTCAGGTAAGATCAGTGGCGCTGTCTGTGGGAAACAAGTTTCCCCGTCTTTCACTTGCATAAGACAAAAGCTAATCCAACTCCCTTTTGACTGTCATGGCTGACCTCACGGCAGAAAACAACCCGAATGTCCATCCCGCCGACGTCAACAACGCCGACACCAACAATGCTGGTCCCGCTGGCCACGACACCGGAAACAACAACATCGACCACACTGTGGACATACCCGGCCCCTCAGAATATAGAGACGGACTGACTGCCTCATTGTCATCACTGTCCCGACGACTCAAAGACGGTCGTCGTCCTCCCCGGAACTATCAGTCGAACGCGTTTTAGGAGGTCCCCGTTCCTACGGGTGCTGATGCCATGACCAGGGCACTGTTCCCGGCTATAAATCAAACAAACTACTTGATCTTTTCACAAGGGGGGGATTAAGGGTGCTCGAAGATTCTCAAAGAGCCCCCAGAAGACACAGGAAGCCTGATTCTCCTCCTGCCCGTCAGATATAGGATCGTCTCCAATCTCCCCCGCAGAGACACCGACGAGATGTCTCTCGAAGCCCCTCTCCCCGACGAACCGGGTGACGCCCCGTGTTGGAGAGGGATCAGTCCGTTGATACGGGGATACATGATCACATCCCCACGCGCCAAGAGCGAAGACCCCCTAGAAATAGAAACAGGGGAAATGATGAACAACGATACCGACCTAGGGACCCTCCCCGCGACCAGGGCCGCCATCACGACCGCCATTACAACATGTCGCCTTCTCGATATCTAGACAAAAGTGACGAAGACGACCCCCACGGTCCCCTATCTCAGGCTATTATGGAGGCACCCATTCCCCCGGGTGTGGAGAAACCTCCCCATCTGAAGGAGTATGACATCATTGCCGATCCAGTCGACTACATCGACAGGTTCGAGGCAATGTTGTGCTATCATAACGTCGGGGGACCGATCAAATACCAGTTGTTTCCCACGGCTCTGAGAAAGACTGCGATGGATTGGTATAAGAACCTTCTCTGAAAGGGCTCGCGCACGTGTGCATATAAAAGAGAGCTAATGAGAGGAAGGGACGGGACGCTAAGGTGTCGCGGCAAAGTAAGCTTAGCCACAAAATTCCACCAGAAGGTATATCCTGAAGATATGATCAATTAGTCCAATGGGCACCTGAAGGCCTGGTAAATAGCCGGTATAACTTCCTTCATTCTCTGGTAGCGATAAAGCTTCTGTAAATCAGGGCCCATCGCCTCTCAATCAATTCCATTCAGAAAAACTTGAGTCGCGAGGAATGGGGAAGCATTATTATTGCACAAATTGTGGTGGAGGAAAGCATCGAAGCCGCTTTAGTTGACGATGGCTATACCGCTCAGATTGCGGCCAATCTTCCTAACCGCGCGCGGCGCGGGCCGGGCCTTTCACCTGGTTCTATAAAGAAATAAATTTACCGGTGTGAGCTTCTAATTCTGACAATAGCTAAATCTAGGGCACTGCATAAGGAATAAGGAGGAGATTCCCTGGTATGAATTCAATTGATTTGCAACCGAGTTTCTCATGGGAAGGAGCATGTGAAAATAACTTTTATCTCTTGTTTCAGAGAAATAAGTGGCTCACGAGGAATGGAAAGAAACATCTTATATTTGATCTCGAAGTCCTCATATGGCGCTTCTTCTTCAAATCCTGGATGGGTGATCACTTGTAGGAATGACATAATGCTAATCCGTACTGACAAAGAGTATTTTAGTACTACTATGTATTAATATCTAACCAAAAAAGAAGGAAGAGAATGAAAGGAGAAGAACTTGTCATTCCTTAACCAGGATGGTAAGGTCCTTGAAGCTGAATTGGATCAAAGGCTGCACATCTCGCACCTTGCAACTTCTTTCGTAACAAAGCGAATGAGTAATCGGCCCGAGGAATTAGCCATAGAGAAGGGAAAGCTCCCAACCCAAGTGCAAGTGCCATCCTAAAATAAAGCTGTTGGAGGGATACCCTATCCACGCCGGTCCATCCAAACTTCTACTGGGTGGGATATTTTGCTATATCGGAACAGGGAAAGATACTGGACGGAGTTGTGCTTTTCCCACCTTGGCCAGGAAGAGATGTGAGACGAGGTTCTTCAACCATTACTTTTCTTCAACTTTGAATTCAGTTCTGTCAGGGTCAAGATCAGGTGGTAGCTTATTTGCTGGATAATTTCAGTAAAGATGATTGTGTCAATATCCATTATGAATATATGATTGATAAATCGAACACAGCAGAAGAATCAAAGCAACCTATATGCAATGATGAAGAAGAAGAAGAATCAAAGCAACCTATATGCAAAGATGAAGTCAATATCGGTCTTGTCTTTTTGATAACCTTGAGACCGACGAAGACTGCGCTCCAGCTGGTGGTGAAGGAAAGGGGGGAGGAACTATAGAATAGAAGGAGCTAGACATGAACCGTCACGGTCTTTCTGGTGAATCAGTGCTGCAAGAGAGGACTCGTTATGGCTTTAAAGAGCCTCTTTTTTAGCAGTCTCGCCCATAAGATAAGAGAAGATTGACCATCTCTTCTTCCAAGCTTCTTTCTGCTTCTTCTCGGCGTAACGAAAGAACTAGATGAGGAGAGGCCTCCAGTTTCAAATCTCTACCCTACTCCTTACGAGGGCGCCCCATTATATGAGAACCTGTCGATGGTTTAGCTGCGGAGATCCTTCACCTTTTCCATTGGTCTTTGCTCCAAGCTTGAACAAGGGATTTCTCTCTGCTTGAGTGGCTTGAAGCTACACCGCCCCTGGGTCAACTACCTCCTAGAGAAACTTGAAAAACCAATTCATCACCTCATTCATTGCCTCACGTCGACACCTGAAGACTGAGGCAGCCCTTGAGGCCATTGTCTAGAGAAGCGATGGGACCCTTAGGGAGTTTATTGATCGGTTCAACCGCGAGGCCATTCAGGTCCCTTGCACCGATCATATAAAGAGATACCTACTCGAGAGGGAACTCCTCCTGAGCAAGGAGTTCAGGAAGGTCGTTGGCATCGAACCACCCTGGACATTTGATGCTCTCCTCGAAAAGGCTAGGGCCTACATGGACTATGAGGAGAAGGAAGCGGCCAATAGAGCCTGCGACCCAAGGAATTATGGACCAACCAATAATCCATGACACCAAGATTCAGGACTTCCTCGACGAACGGGCAAGAAGAGGAAGGATGACAAACCACGAGATCCTCGTGAGCAAAGAGGTCCCGCGGGGAGATTCAATGAGTACACTCCGCTGACAGCTTCCCGCGAGCGCATCTTGGCGGAGTGCGCTAATACTGACTTCAAGAACGGCAGCGTCAGACGTCCTCGCTCTGCTCCTGCTAAGCCCGGGTCTGACCGGAGAAAATACTGTCAGTATCATCAAATTCATGGACACCTGACTGAAGATTATGTCCATCTCAAAGATGTTATTGAAACCCTCATTAAAAGGGGCATACTCGGGAAATATCGGCGTGGCGACGCCCCCTGTTGATATGCCCGCGACACAAAGGAGGCCGAGGAGGATACCCCGACCATCGGATGAAACGAACCCCATTTAAATAACCTTCTTCGTTGTAAGACCGGAGGACTTCTACGTCCCTGACACGCACGAAGAAGAACCTCTGTGTATGCATAGTAG